CTGTAGTTCTGCCTGTTATCTGTTGTTCTGCCTGTTGTTCTGCCTGTTGTCTGTTGTTCTGCCTGTTGTCTGTTGTTCTGTCTGTTGTTCTGGTCTGTAGTCTGTTATGTCTGTTGTTCTACCTGTTGTTCTGCCTGTTGTCCGTTGTTCTGTCTGTAGTCTGTTGTTCTGTCTGTTGTTCTGCCTGTTGTCTGTTCTTATGTCTGTAGTTCTGCCTGTTGTTCTGTCTGTTGTTATGTCTGTTGTTCTGTCTGTTCTGTCTGTTGTTCTGTCTGTTCTGTCTGTTGTTCTGTCTGTTGTCTGTTTGTTTGTTGTCTGTTGTTCTGTCTGTTCTGTCTGTTCTGTGTATTTTTCTGCCTGTCCTGTCAGTTGTTCTGTTTGTTGTTTGTTCTGTCTGTTGTCTGCCCTTCTGTTTGTTGTCTGCTGTTCTGCCTGTTTTTCTGTCCTTTTTGTCTGTTCATTTTTGTTTGTCTGTTTATCTATCTGTTCTTTCATTTTGTCCATTGCCTGTTCTTCTGTCTGTTTTTCTCAGTTATTTGTCTGTTGTCTGTTCTTCTGTTTGTCTTTTGTTTTTGTCTGTGTTCATCTGTCTGTTTTTTCTGTTTGTTTGTCTGTTCTTCTGTCTGTATTGTCTGTCTGTTTTTTCTGTCTGTCTGTTTGTCTTGTCTGCTCTTTTGTGTGTCAGTATGTCTGTTCTTCCATATTTTTTCTGTCTGTTGTCTGTTCTGCTCTCTGACTGTCTTTCGTCTGGTATTCTGTCTGTTGTCTATTCTGCTCTCGGTCTGTCTGTCGTCTGGTATTCTGTTTGTTGATCTGTCTGTCTGTCTGTCCATATGTCTGTTTGGCATTCCGTCTGTTTTATGTCTGTTCTGCTTTCTGTCTGTCATCTGGTATTCTGTCTGTTGGTTTGTCTGTCTGTCTGTCGTCTGATGGTCTGTCTGTCTGCGTCTAATATTCTGTCTGTTGTCTGGTATTCTGCCGGTTTGTTGTCTGTACTGCTCTCTATCTGTCTGTCGTCTGGTATTTTGTCTGTCTGTTGTCTGTTCTGCTCTCTGTCGTCTGATATTCTGTCTGTTGATCTGTCTGTCGGTCGTCTGGTATTCTGTCTGTTGGTCTGTCTGTCGGTCGTCTGGTATTCTGTCTGTTGTCTGTTCTTCTCTCTGTCTGTCATCTGGTATTCTGTTTGTTGATCTGTCTGTCCGTCTGTCTGTTTGGCATTCTGTCTGTTTTATGTATGTACTGCTTTCTGTCTGTCGTCTGATATTCTGTCTGTTGGTCTGTCTGTCTGTATTTCTGTTTGTCGTCTGGTATTCTGTCTGTCTGTTGTCTGGTATTCTGCCGGTTTGTTGTCTGTACTGCTCTCTATCTGTCTCTCGTCTGGTATTCTGTCTGTCTGTTGTTTGTTCTGCTCTCTGTCGTCTGATATTCTGTCTGTTGGTCTGTCTGTCGGTCGTCTGGTATTCTGTCTGTCTGTTGTCTGTTCTGCTCTTTGTCGTCTGGTATTCTGTCTGTTGGTTTGTCTGTCGGTCGTCTGGTATTGTCTGTTGTCTGTTCTGCTCTCTGTCTGTCATCTGGTATTCTGTTTGTTGATCTGTCTGTCTGTCCATCTGTCTGGCATTCTGTCTGTTTTATGTCTGTACTGCTTTCTGTCTGTCGTCTGGTATTCTGTCTGTTGTCTGTTCTGCTCTCTGACTGTCAGTCATCTGGTATTCTGTCTGTTGATCTGTCTGTCTGTCCATATGTCTGTTTGGCATTCTGTCTGTTTTATGTCTGTACTGCTTTTGTTGGTTTTTTCTGTTGGTCTGTCTGTCTGTCGTCTGGTATTCTGCCGGTTTGTTGTCTGTACTGCTCTCTATCCGTCTGTTGTCTGGTATTCTGTCTGTCTGTTGTTTGTTCTGCTCTCTGTCGTCTGGTATTCTGTCTGTTGGTCTGTCTGTCGGTCCTTTGGTATTCTGTCTGTTCTCTGTTCTGCTCTGTCTGTCGGTCGTCTGGTATTCTGTCTGTTGGTCTGTCTGTTAGTCTGTCGTCTGGTATTTTGTCTGTTGGTTTGTATGTCTGTTAGTCTGTCATCTGGTATTATGTCTGTTAGTCTGTCGTCTGGTATTCTGTCCGTTTGTTGTCTGTTGTCTGTTCTGCTCTGTCTGTTGTCTGGTATTCTGTCTGCTGTCTGTTTGTCTGTCTGTTTGTTTTCTGTTGGTCTGTCTGTCTGTCTGCCGTCTGGTATTCTGTTTGTACTTTTTTATAATTTTTTGTCTGTATAGTGTGTGTTCGTCTGTCTTTCAGGTGTATTAATGTGTGTTGTGAAGAACAACAGGTCTCTCACACAAACACACACACACTCTCTCTCTCTCTCTCTCTCTCTCTCTCTCTCCTTCTCTCTTTCTCTGTGGTGATAATAGGATTTGTCCCATTAGCGTTTGATTTCGGTGGTTCTGTAATTAAGGTGTGTGTGTGTGTGTGTGTGTGTGTGTGTGTGTGTGTGTGTGTGTGTGTGTGTGTGTGTGTGTGTGTGTGTGTGTGTGTGTGTGTGTAAGGGCCGGGTCCCTCAGCAGCGGGACACACTGCAGATTAAACTCATTACAACATTACAGACTGAGAAAATCAAGAGCTTCAGTGACGTCCCACAGAGAGACGGCTGCTCCACACACCTGTGCACCGCAGAACACACGCACGCACATACACACATCGCTCACACACTGCTAGAGACATCAGGCATAATAAGAGCTCTTGAAGGACTGTGATGCAGTGTGTAGCGCTGGTGTGTTATTAATGCCGTGGTGTTGTGTTTCTCTCAGGCTTCTGGTTCAGCCCCGAGTGTGAGTTTGTGCGCGAGTGTGTGGAGAGATCTCAGAAACACGTGGAGGGACGAGTCCAGCTCTCCGTCTACAAGGGACAGGTGTACATCCTGGGCCGAGAGTCTCCCAAATCACTGTACAACGAGGAGCTGGTCAGGTGTGTGTGTGTGTTTGTTTCTCTATATGTGTTTGTGTCTGTGTGTGTTCATGAGCATGTGTGTGTGTGTGTATATGACAGTAATGATGTCATGTGTGCAGTGTATGACCTCTGACCCCTGTGTGTCCTGAGGGCAGATCAGCTGTTCTCAGATTAGTCCAGATGCTGAGCGCTGCTAATGGCCTCCGCTAGCGTTCAGGGGAATCAGGCGTTTGGTTGCGCTTAAGTGTGGAAGTGTTCGGTCGAGAGGTCAAACCCTGTGCTGTAGCTCGAGGCCACATGACGGCAGACGATCATTATCAGCCTCGAATTACTCTAAACGGGAGACTTACACTGGACTGATCCCATAGGCTGGGGTTTAAGGGCACAGTGTGTCATTTTGGCCACTAGAGGGCGGATATTCACAACAAACAAAGGGAATTTAAAGTCTGCATAAACCGGTAGCTGCAAGTAGTTTTTTTTATATTGTGTCGCAGTTCCTGGAGAAACGGAATATTAAATGTGGAAACAGTGGGCGTGGCTTGTTTTTTTCTCCTGCAAGCTGATTGGATGTAGTTAAGTAGGCGTTTCATTCAGAAAGATGGGGAAAAGGGTTTGGGGGGAGTTATTACAGCCTGACAGACTCCTCCTCACCATTTAGGTTTGATGTCAAAACTGACAGCTGGAGGGGCGTGGTTAAGTATATTAGCCACACCCAATACCTCAGACAGACCTAATCTGAGAAGGAAGTGCAAACTACTTTAATTTCTAAATAGCATGCACAGATGAACAGTTCAAAACTAGCTATGCAACTAGCATTCATATTTAATGACATTTTAATTACCAGTTCAGCTTGTACCACTATAGTTGAGGTCAGGGGCGTCGCTAGACCCCCAGGTACTGGTGCACGTGACCCAGTATAAATTGCAGGGCCCCAGTAAATGCTTTGAGATAGGATTTACTTTATAATATATTATAATATAATATTTTATATTATATTTCATTAATATATTTACTTTTCTATATATATATATATATATATATATATATATATATATATATTTAGTGTATTTATTAATCCCAGAATAAAGACGTTATTCTCTATGTGCAACTCAACCAAGCAACTCAAGCAAACTGAGTGTTTTGCGCAGAAAAAAACATACATGTGCCTCATGCACGGCTCCTGCTTGACACTGACGCGCTGCTCTGCTCACGGTGTAAATCCCAGTTTTGAACGTGCACGCTGAAAAAATAGCAGTGCCACTCATGCGTTGTGAAACCGGCGTAACAGTCTTTTATGCAGAGGTGTCGGCATGCAGTGAGTTTCGCAAGTCGACAAAACAAAGTTTAAATATTATGATGGTGATCTTATTTAGACTAAGCATGGCTCTTGATAGATTTTTTTGAATGAAGCAGAAAGGAGGGATGATGAGTCAGGGAGGTAAGACTTCTAGGCCATGAGTCGGGTCTAAGACAACACACAACAGATAATTCTAAACATCTTTTTCGTATTCTATAGTATTGTCTATAGAATTTAATTATAATGAAATTAATATTCATGAAAAAGATTAAATCATCTTAGCATCACTCCAGTTGTGTCTTTAGAGTTGTTTTTCTGTTACATTTAGGATTATTTCTGTTATTCATTTACAATAATAATTGTATAATAACAATAATACTGTTATTTATTTATAATTATATATACTTTTTTGTTATATTCAGTCAATTTTCTGTCAATATTCAGATTCAGCTGGAAATACGTTATTATACTGAAATAAAATCCCGCCCCTACTAAATATTCAGTTTCAGCTGGAAATACATCATCATACTGAAGAAAACCCCGCCCCCTACTCAATATTCAGATTCAGCAGGAAATATGTCATCATACTGAAGTAAAACCCCGCCCCCTACTCAATATTCAGTTTCAGCTGGAAATACATCATCATACTGAAGTAAAACCCCGCCCCCTACTCAATATTCAGATTCAGCAGGAAATACGTCATCATACTGAAATAAAACCCCGCCCCCTACTCAATATTCAGATTCAGCAGGAAATACGTCATCATACTGAAATAAAACCCCGCCCCCTACTCAATATTCAGATTCAGCTGGAAATACGTCATCATACTGAAATAAAACCCGCCCCCTACTCAATATTCAGTTTCAGCTGGAAAGACGTCATCATACTGAAGAAAACCCCGCCCCCTACTCAATATTCAGTTTCAGCTGGAAACACGTCATCATACTGAAATAAAACCCTGCCCCCTACTTAATATTCAGTTTCAGCTGGAAACACGTCATCATACTTAAATAAAACCCCGCCCCCTACTCAATATTCAGTTTCAGCTGGAAACACGTCATCATACTTAAATAAAACCCCGCCCCCTACTCAATATTCAGATTCAGCTGGAAATACATCATCATACTGAAATAAAATCCGCCCCCTACTCAATATTCAGTTTCAGCTGGAAAGACGTCATCATACTGAAGAAAACCCCGCCCCCTACTCAATATTCAGTTTCAGCTGGAAACACGTCATCATACTTAAATAAAACCCTGCCCCCTACTTAATATTCAGTTTAAGCTGGAAATACGTCATCATACTTAAATAAAACCCTGCCCCCTACTCAATATTCAGTTTCAGCTGGAAACACGTCATCATACTTAAATAAAACCCTGCCCCCTACTCAATATTCAGTTTCAGCTGGAAACACGTCATCATACTTAAATAAAACCCTGCCCCCTACTCAATATTCAGTTTCTAACTGAAACTAAATGTTGAGTAGGGGGTGGGGTTTTATTTCGGTAAGATGATATATTTACAACTGAAGCTGAATATTGAGTAGGGGGCGGGGTTTATTTAGGTGTGATGATGTATTTCCAACTGAAACTGAATATTGACTATCCAGCATGATGATGTATTTCTAGTGGAAACTGAATACTAAGCAAGGGCTGGGTTTTATTTCAGTATGAGTACATTTATGGCGGTAAAAATGTTGATTAGGGGGCGGGGTTTCATTTAGCATGATGACTTATTTCCAATTGAAACTGAATATTGAGTAAGGGGCAGGGTTTTATTTGTTGCTCCGCCTCTTATCATTCAGTCTCATTCTAGCAGTTGGAGGGGCGTGGCTAAGCTTATTTTTCTCATTCAGAGTTATCAGATAATGACTGATGTTCCAGAGCAGAAGCAGATGGGCAGATTTTAACTAAAGATTGACAAAAAAAACTGATATTTTTCACAGGATTAGTCGTTCACATTAAGACTAACAATCTGCTTAGCAAAATAGACATTGTCAATTTAGATTTCCTCCAGGCTTTAATGTCTGTGTATAGGTGTAATCGCAGCAGGACAACACTGTGACATTTGTCTGAGATCAATGATGGAAGAAACTGCTGTGTTAATAATAATGATGATGATAACACAGTGTTACGTCATCAGAGAGCAGCAAAATCATTATCAAAAAGTGTTTACTGTAGAGAGCAATCCCAACATGCATATCTTAATATAAAATCCTCAGATTTACACAAAGAAAAGCTGCAGAACATCTAATATAAATATGAAAGCAAAGGTAAATTGTCATCTTGTGTACTGGAGTATTTCTGCTTTTCATTAACCCATTAAACTTTATATCTGATGGCCTTTTTTATTTAATATTTTTTGCAAGGAAAATATGATTATATTATACATCAAAATAAAGAACCAAGCCTCTGCTGTTATACAATAAAAGCTTTTTATTCCATCTTCATGTGTTCATATTTAAAAATCACTCTAATGTAAATAGGTTTAATCAAAAGTGCCAATTTTGTGACAAAACGGAGGAAATTATTATTTTTATTGTATATAGATTTACTGAGTGAACAAATGCTTTTAATTAAATTCTAAAAAGACGATAAGGTACAATGGGTAACAAGAGTCTCATTAGTAAACGTTAAAATCAAAGTAAATGAAAATAAAATAACAGCTGAATGTTATTAATGTTTATGACAATAGCCCCTTTTACACATACAGACCTTTTCGGAAAAATACCGGCAATTTTCCGGAAAGGTCTGTATGTGTGAACAGGCCCTTTTTGAAAACACTGGTAAATTCATTCCGGCTATTTTCCGGAAAGAGAAGTTGTACAATTAGCGGTGATTTCCTGGAATGCTGTGCTGTGTGAACGCAGGAAGATTTCCGGAATGAGTGCGTGCACATCTAGAATTGCTGACGTGAGATGTCTACTCCAGCCAATCAGAACACTCAGGCGCATTCACATCCGTGCTGTTTATAAAAAAATATATATTTGAATATTTTTCCAGACACAATTCTGAAATAAAACCCCGCCACCTTCTCGATATGTAGTTTCAGTTGGACATGTCATCATATTGAAATAAAGCCCCGCCTCCTCCTCAATATTCAGTTTCAGCTGGAAATACGTCATCATACTGAAATAAAACCCCACCCCCTACTCAATATTTAGTTTCAGCTGGAAATACGTCATCATACTGGAATAAAACCCCGCCCCCTACTCAATATTCAGTTTCTGCCGGAAATACGTCATCATACTGGAATAAAACCCCGCCCCCCCACTCAATATTCAGTTTCAGCTTTAAATACGTCATCACACTGGAATAAAACCCCGCCCCCCTCTCAATATTCAGTTTCAGCTTTAAATACGTCATCACACTGGAATAAAACCCCGCCCCCCACTCAATATTCAGTTTCAGCTTTAAATACATCATCACACTGGAATAAAACCCCGCCCCCTACTCAATTTTCAGTTTCAGCTGGAAGTTTGTCATCACACTGGAATAAAACCCCGCCCCCTACTCAATTTTCAGTTTCAGCTGGAAGTTTGTCATCATACTGGAATAAAACCCTGCCCCCCCACTCAATATTCAGTTTCAGCTTTAAATACGTCATCACACTGGAATAAAACCCCGCCCCCTACTCAATATTCAGTTTCTGCCGGAAATACGTCATCATACTGAAATAAAACCCCGCCCCCTAATCAATATGTAGTTTCAGCTGGAAATACGCCATCATACTGGAATAAAACCCCGCCCCCCACTCAATATTCAGTTTCAGCTTTAAATACGTCATCACACTGGAATAAAACCCCGCCCCCCACTCAATATTCAGTTTCAGCTTTAAATACGTCATCACACTGGAATAAAACCCCGCCCCCCTCTCAATATTCAGTTTCAGCTTTAAATACGTCATCACACTGGAATAAAACCCCGCCCCCCTCTCAATATTCAGTTTCAGCTTTAAATACGTCATCACACTGGAATATAACCCCGCCCCCCACTCAATATTCAGTTTCAGCTTTAAATAC